TGTCGCACCCGTACCGGACCGGGACCAGCAACGGGATCGCAACCCTCGGCGCTGCGCCCGCACCTCGCTCAGCCCGTGAGCGGGAACCGGTCTGTATGTGGGATCCGAACCCTCGGGCGGGAGCGCCCCCGCGCTTCCCAGGCGGCGCACTATCCAGTGCGCCACCGGGCCGGCCCCACCCTAACATTTTATTTATTTATTTTTTTTTTTGTCTTTTGTCTTTTTTCCGTGTCCGGCAACGGATCGTAACCCTCAGTGTCGCGCCCGTACCGGACCGGGACCAGCAACGGGATCGCAACCCTCGGCGCTGCGCCCGCACCTCCCTCAGCCAGTGAGCAAACCGGCCATCCCTATATAGGATGCGAACCCAGGGCCTTGGTGTTATCAGCACCGCACTCTCCCAAGTGAACCACGGGCCGGCCCTCAGATTCATTTTCTTGAGCAGACTGACATCAGGTCTGGGTCTTTTCCACCCTTGAGTCCTCACTCGATAAATCTAGATCCTGCCCCCAGTGCCCTCCACCCTAACATGGGTTTGGATCCCTATATAGGGATCCAAACCGATAGTGCGCCGCTTGGGAAGCGCGGTGGCGCTCCCGCCCGAGGGTTCGGATCCCACATACAGACCGGTTCCCGCTCACTGGCTGAGCGAGGTGCGGGCGCAGCGCCGAGGGTTGCGATCCCGTTGCTGGTCCCGGTCCGGTACGGGCGCGACACTGAGGGTTACGATCCGTTGCCGGACACGAAAAAAGACAAAAAGGAAAAAAAAAAAAAAAGAAACCAGGCAGTCTGGAGCCGGCCCGGTGGTGCACTGCTACAGTGCGCCGCTTGGGAAGCGCGGTGGCGCTCCCGCCCGAGGGTTCGGATCCCACATACAGACCGGTTCCCGCTCACTGGCTGAGCGAGGTGCGGGCGCAGCGCCGAGGGTTGCGATCCCGTTGCTGGTCCCGGTCCGGTACGGGCGCGACACTGAGGGTTACGATCCGTTGCCGGACACGAAAAAAGACAAAAAGGAAAAAAAAAAAAAAAGAAACCAGGCAGTCTGGAGCCGGCCCGGTGGTGCACTGCTACAGTGCGCCGCTTGGGAAGCGCGGTGGCGCTCCCGCCCGAGGGTTCGGATCCCACATACAGACCGGTTCCCGCTCACTGGCTGAGCGAGGTGCGGGCGCAGCGCCGAGGGTTGCGATCCCGTTGCTGGTCCCGGTCCGGTACGGGCGCGACACTGAGGGTTACGATCCGTTGCCGGACACGAAAAAAGACAAAAAGGAAAAAAAAAAAAAAAGAAACCAGGCAGTCTGGAGCCGGCCCGGTGGTGCACTGCTACAGTGCGCCGCTTGGGAAGCGCGGTGGCGCTCCCGCCCGAGGGTTCGGATCCCACATACAGACCGGTTCCCGCTCACTGGCTGAGCGAGGTGCGGGCGCAGCGCCGAGGGTTGCGATCCCGTTGCTGGTCCCGGTCCGGTACGGGCGCGACACTGAGGGTTACGATCCGTTGCCGGACACGAAAAAAGACAAAAAGGAAAAAAAAAAAAAAAGAAACCAGGCAGTCTGGAGCCGGCCCGGTGGTGCACTGCTACAGTGCGCCGCTTGGGAAGCGCGGTGGCGCTCCCGCCCGAGGGTTCGGATCCCACATACAGACCGGTTCCCGCTCACTGGCTGAGCGAGGTGCGGGCGCAGCGCCGAGGGTTGCGATCCCGTTGCTGGTCCCGGTCCGGTACGGGCGCGACACTGAGGGTTACGATCCGTTGCCGGACACGAAAAAAGACAAAAAGGAAAAAAAAAAAAAAAGAAACCAGGCAGTCTGATTCAAGAGTCTGTACTCTCAACCACTCTGCTATTATTGACAGGGTGCTAAAGGGACACAGAGGGGCATTTAGCCTTGGGGGGGAGGAGGAGGTGATCCAGAGGTGGTGCTGTCTAGGCAGAGCACTGAAGGACAAGTAGAAGGCATGGAGACACAAATAGCAGACACAAAAAAGCCCACCGTCCTTTGTTCATTCCTTCCTGAAAGCACTGATCTCAGCATGGCACCATGTGTTGTTTATCTGTCAGTCTCCCTCTCCTGATGGACCAGAAAGGGGTTCTGGGGCCCCAGGGACTAGCACAGCATCTAGCATGCTGTAGGTGCTCAAACAGGAGCAAAGGCATGGAGACACAAATAGCAAGGTGTGGGAAAGGCACATCCTGAAGTGCATATTGTTGGACCTTAGGGTGCACACAGGAGATTGCTAGAGGTCAGATTATAGAGAGCTCTGTAAATTGTGCTAGGGATTTAGCTTTTTCCCATAGGCAATTGGAAGCCATCAAAGGGTATAAGCAAGGAAGTGACACGATCAGACTTGTGTTCTAAAAGGGTCACAAGAGTTACAGTTTGGAGACTGGGTTGCAGGCAGCCATAACTGGAACCTGCTGGGAAGCTACGGCAGTCATCCTGGTGAAAAGCACATCAACAAGGGTGGTAAGAGAAGAGATGGAGGAACAGGTGTGAAGGATGTTCAGGAAGGTGGCTGGACTAGGTCACCTCTCAGATGTGGGAATTGAGGGAGAAGAAGAAAGGTAAGCAATCCCCGGGTTTCTGGCTGGGATGGGGTAGCGGAGTAAGAATGAATCTGCAGGGAAAAGACCAGTTCAAGTTTAGACCCAGTGAGCTCCACCTGAAGCGGAGCTGCCCAGTCGGCAGCTGGGTGGCCAAGCCGGGGTGGAGCTCCAGGGAGCGGCTGCGCGGCAGATGTGGACGGGGTATTGAGTTGGTGGAAAGCTGAAGCCACGGGAGTAGATGGGACCACCCAGAGTCAGTGCACAGAGCGAGGAGCTGGGCAAGCGAGGAGAACGTGCAGCGGTCCTTCCGACCCACTGTCGGAGCGGCAGGGAGAAAACTGAAAGCTGACGCGCACAAGGCCAAAAGAGGAAGGGGGCGGCAGGTGTCGATGGGGAATGAGTGTCAGTGGTGGTATGCCCCTCTGAGGACTCAAGAAAGACACTTTAAAAGCCCTTTTAAGTATCAATCGGGAAGTTATTCAGGCCGTTTCCAAAGAGGTTGGGATGACAGCGTCGAAGACCTACCGGATGTGTCGACGTTCTCCTCGTTCCCAGCCCTGACCCCTCCCCATGCCCAATCCCCGCCCCCTAACACCCAGATACCGTCCCCCGCCTGTCCCCTCACAGTTAAGTGGGAGGCTCTGGAGGGCGATCCGGCCGCGCCCGCTGGGCCCTCGAGGGTGGCCGGGGCCGCCGAGGGTCAGCGCCGGAGACCCCGAACCCCTCGGGGGGCGGAGCGAGGCCGAGCGGAGGAAGGGGGCGGAACCTGCAGCGCGGCAGGTGTGGGAAGGGTCGGACGAAACCGAGAAC